ACTATATAAGTAAATGTATGAATTTGTTGAAAGACTAGGTATTTAAGAAGTCTTAATAGGCGTTTAAATTGAAGATTTATTTATTACACTGCCCCTTTATTACAAAAACCTAATAATGGTATTAATCAACAACAGTCATAAAACGTTGATATGTACCTATGTACTCTCTGATTAATACTAACTATACTTTTATCGTATAGAAAGTAAAGAAAACGCACTCAAACCTTTTAAAATAATACCTGCCTGCCTAGATAAATAAATAGGTATCTATGCATATACAAATAAATACTTAGCAAGAAACCTTGCCTCCGAATTGAGCCACACCCACAAACACAAATTAATAAGAAGTGAATTATTAGTGAAGGAAGTAGCACAGTCACATCGCTCCCGCTGTATTTTAATATGACCAGTAGCATCGACTAAACCGCGCCCGTAGATTACGCTCGCTCTGTATAGCATCCACCTATTTGGCATTCGCCTCAATACCAGTACTGTACCACCAAAAATCCCGGCCGGTCTTTATGTGACGACGACTATGCTCTAATTGCAAAAATTACCGCTCCCGGAACGCTTACAGGACGGCCTTCGTGTGGCCTGAGCTCTTATTATTTAGGTACATTAAGGCCCGCCACACACTACATACGGAATTCCGTTTTGCCCGCAAAATTCCGTGCGGAAAACTACCGTAGGTATGTGACGGGTCATTGACTTTATATGGACTTGCCGCGTTCGGAATCCCGAATCGGAATTCAAATGAGACAGTACCCGGATGACCGAGCTTTGCTCGGTTATTTTTTGAAATTACATTTATAAATTACATACTGATGAAACATAAATAATATTTTTTAATCTTATTGACGGTATTTACCTTCTTATATTGTAGCAGTTTGTTTATTGCCTAAAAACACGGACAAAAGGACATTTTCTAAAAATAAATCCTAGCTAGATCGATTTATTTCCCCCCGAAACTCCCTGGACACTAAATTTTATGAAAATCGTTGGAGCCGATTCCGAGATTCCGGATTATATATATATATAATATATATATATTATATACATATATATATATATATATATATATATATACAATATGTAACGTAATTAACATACAGCCTCAGACACCCCAATTAGTATTTTATACTATAATCATAACACATACACTGAATTTTTAGTTAAACATTTTTATGCACTGATTATTTATTAAATTAGTTATACTAATTCCGGAAGAATGTTGTGGTCATAGTACAAATCCACGAACGCAAAGACTTTAACGTGCTTGAAATAAAGTTCATTTTTCAATAATAATACATAACGTTATTCTTGGACTCGATGATAAACAGCGTACTACTGTACTTTTCTTCGATATGTCTAAGGCATTCGAATTTGTAGTTCACAATGTTCACTTGTTAGATAAACTGGAAAAGTATGGGATTAGAGGTCTTTCTCACTCTTGGCTTAAAACATATCTAGAAAATAGACATCAGTGCGTAGAAATAAATAGAATAAGCGAGAGAAATACAACTACATCCGATTGTTCTAATTATAAAATAAATAAGTTGGGAGTACCACAGGGTAGCGTTCTGGGTCCTATATTGTTTTTATTATATATGAATGACTTACCGAGAGTGACTAAACATCAGTGCATAATGTTTGCAGATGATATTTCCATTATTGTTAAATCAAATTATAATGACAATTTAAATAATTATGAAAATGACATTAATAACACAATTAATAATATAGTCCAATATCTTAAATTAATTAATCTGAATAAGACAAATTTCATAAATTTTAACATAAAAGGAAGAGCAGCAAATAATCTTAATGTGCTGTACAAAAACATACCTATTGAAAGGACTACCATGGTCTCATTTTTGGGTGTAGTACTTAACGAGAACTTAAATTTCACTGGCCACATTGATAAAATTAATAGGTTTGCTTTCGTCTTAAGGCGTTTAACTAAGATAACGACTCTTAGCGTAACTATGTCTGCTTATTATGGTTACGTCGCGTCTAATATTAATTATGGTCTGGTTCTGTGGGGCAACAGCGTTGAAGCAAATAGAGTTCTCATCGCACAAAACAAATGTATACGTGCTATATTCGGTAAAGGGTATATATATATATATATATATGTTTATTTTCACATACATACTTCGTTTTGTCATTTATTTAATGAGTAACATCTTCGAAATTATCTTTTACTTAGCAATAAATTAATAAAAAATAATATATTATTAAACTGCTAAATTCATGTGCAAATAAGATAATTTAATGCGTAGACCTGCTAAGTCCTTATATTTAAGTTAGGAGTTGTATGCGTGTATGTGATGAAAAACATTTATTTTAGACACTAAATGAAAAAAATAGAGGTAAAAAATATAAACTTACCTTTTTTACCGTTTATAATTTAATAATTTTAATAATATATAATTTTCAAAATTTGACACGTTGAAAACGGCATATGGATTTGGGAACGTTGTCAGTGCAAAATTGTTGTGGAGATTGGCTGGTGGTCAAAAAGCAATTTTCTCTAACTTTAGAAGTGCTCTCCGAGCCACTTTCCGTCCTTTCAGGTTTCCTACACATCAACTTTACTTGGCGTGTAGTGTACTAACTGTCCGTCAGTTGTTTATTTTTTTTTAAATTCAAATTTATTGAATTGCCATAAATAGGGTAAGTGATAGGTTTTTTACAATAAAAATAAGTTACTTAAAGACCTATTTAGCCATGAGATACGGCATGCAACTGTTTTTTTTTTAATTACCAAATAATATAGGTGGTAGTCGATTCTAAAATGTCAAGTTATTAAATGTAAGTTATATAATTCAAAATGTCATAATTTACTATATCAATATCATAATTAAAATTTAAATACACTCAATCAAAAATAAAGGTCTGATAAAACCGTGATACGCAGTGATACACAGCAATTACGTCTATCATATGTCAATATGCATATTATTATCATTTTGAAATTCTTTAACACTATAATAACATTTTCTTATTAGCCATTCACGTAACTTTTTGGTCATGAGAATCATAGAGCCGTATTTGAACTGCTTTGGAATTTTATTAAATATTTTTACACACATACAGTAACAACCTTTCTGATAGACAGAAGTTTTTGGTTTATGGTCTAAGACAAGCCGTTTACTATCTCTAGTGCTTCGTGGATATATATCACAAGCTTAAATAACTCTGCATGTTCTTCAAATTTATATATTTCCAATATGTACATGCCAGGGACTGTTAATATACCCAGCTTAATAAATAGGGGCTTGCATGTATCAAATGGACCTTTACCGCATATAGCACGTATACATTTGTTTTGTGCGATGAGAACTCTATTTGCTTCAACGCTGTTGCCCCACAGAACCAGACCATAATTAATATTAGACGCGACGTAACCATAATAAGCAGACATAGTTACGCTAAGAGTCGTTATCTTAGTTAAACGCCTTAATACGAAACCAAACCTTTTAATTTTATTACAAACTTTATCAATGTAGCCAGTGAAATTTAAGTTCTCGTTAAGTACTACACCCAAAACTGAGACCATGGTAGTCCTTTCATAGTGTTACGAGCTTGAGGTTCGTGACAATAAAAATTGCCGATAAAATTACCTAAATTAACACTTTAATTTACTTTACACAAATTAAAATTAAAAACACTAATAATTAAACACACTTATTCACTTTATTCCGCTCCGAAGCTTCGCTTGTTTCGCCAAATCAACACTACCACGATCGCATCTTGCAGTGCCTACTTATTTAAATTAGCAAAGAAATATCCAGAATGTTCAAGTAAACACGCGCAAGGTACCGAGCGTTCGAGTTTCGACTAGGCGCTGTCGGTTGAGTGATTTGTGATGTCATTTTCTCAATGCTCCCCTCGCTCTCGTTCCTGACACTAGATGGCGCTAGTGTATCGTCGACTTGAGCGCGTAACAATAGGTATGTTTTTGTACAGCACATTAAGATTATTTGCTGCTCTTCCTTTTATGTTAAAATTTATGAAATTTGTCTTATTCAGATTAATTAATTTAAGATATTGGACTATATTATTAATTGTGTTATTAATGTCATTTTCATAATTATTTAAATTGTCATTATAATTTGATTTAACAATAATGGAAATATCATCTGCAAACATTATGCATTGATGTTTAGTCACTCTCGGTAAGTCATTTATATATAATAAAAACAATATAGGACCCAGAACGCTACCCTATGGTACTCCAAACTTATTAATTTTATAATTAGAACTATCGGATGTAGTTGTATTTCTCTCGCTTATTCTATTTATTTCTACGCACTGATGTCTATTTTCTAGAGATGTTTTAAGCCAAGAGTGAGAAAGACCTCTAATCCTATACTTTTCCAGTTTATCTAACAAGACATTGTGAACTACAAAATCGAATGCCTTAGACATATCGAAGAAAAGTACAGTAATACGCTGTTTATCATCGAGTCCAAGAATAACGTTATGTATTAGATTAAAGCACGCGAGGGTAGTTGATTTTACCTTTTGGAACCCATTTTGCTCCGGTGTAATGATTTTGAGTTTCGTTAAATAGTTGAGCAGTCTTTTTTGCATGGCCTTTTCAAATACCTTTGATAACACCGGTATTAATGTAACTGGGCGATAGTTACCGATTTCAGATTTATTCTGTTTTTTGTGGATAGGTTTCACGATCGAGAATTTAAGAGCCTCAGGAAAGCATCCTGTTTCAAAGGATAAATTAATTAGGTATGTTAATACCTGGGCTAGTTCGCTTTTACAGAATTTTAACACTTTTGTTGAGATTTCATTACACCCACATGAGCTAGAATTGTTTAGTAATTGTATAATGCGAGTAGTTTCTGTTGAATTCACCGGTTCAAGAAAAATTGACTTTGATATATGATTGATCGTTGATAGTATCTTTCGCTTTTTATACATATCATATATATACCTTCCATCAGTTAGGTTTACGTAGTAATCATTAAACAGTTCAACTATTTTGGCCCATTTGTTATTATACTATTTTCGTATTTCATATGTGTAATGTAATTTTGTGGGGGTTCGCTTTCCGTTACATCTTTGATGAGTTTCCATGAAGCTTTACAAATATTCTGACTGTTCTGGAGATATTTGATATTGTAATTTTTTTGGGCTATTGATATGCACTTCTTAAGCATTTTTGAATACCTCAAGTAAGCTTCTCTGTTCATGTTAGTTTTTTGTTTATAATACTTGAAACGCAATGATCTTTTAGTTTTTATGCAAATTTTTAATCCCTTGGAGATCCATTTTGGCTTTGAATTTTTATTGGTAATTTTAATTTTTAATTTCGGAAAGCAAGATTTATAAAGTGTGCAAAAAAGATCATAGAAACGATCAAATGCTGCATTCATGTTTTTCGCGTTGTAAACATCTAAGAAAGATACTGACTGTAAGTAGCCACGAAACTTTAGAAGATTTTCCTTGCAATAGTCTCTCTTGTGTAAGAACCAGTATTGTAGACTATGAGTATTTTCTATTGAGAATGACAATATTTGGGCAGTATTGTGATCAGATAGATGAAGCGGCATTGTCACGCCCTTAGCTTGTTTAATATTACTTAAAATGTGGTCTATACAGTTGTTTCCTCTAGTAGGTTCACTTATGTGAATTTTTAAATTAAAGTATTTAGCCATATCTTTTAATTGTTGCGATGCTCTAGATTTCACTAATGTATTTATATTAAAATCTCCAGTGATGATAATTTTATAATGTGTAAATGTCTTTAACAGTTCATGGGTCACCGCTTCCAGCCTCGTTAAAAACGAGTGAGCAAATCTATTGTGAGTGGTGTAAACACATAATATCATTACTTTGTATTTAGGGATTCTTATTCCGCAGCACTCAAATACTTCTGGTAATAAGTACTTGTCAAAAATTTTGAGTTCGTTGCAAGTAAGGCCCTTCTGCAGAAATATGCAGGTACCACCACGTTTATTATTCCTAGAATAGCTTGCTGCTTGTTTGTAATTTGAGAGAGTAGCATTTTTCTCCTCACCTTTTTTTATAAATGATTCTGAGAAGCATATTACACCAGGTTCTGAATCACAATCTTTCAGTTCAGAGAGCGTTACTTCTAAAAGGTCATTTTTGAGAGCAAACTCGCTATATTTTGATGCAAAATAATAACACGTTTTTTGTTTAGGTCTTTAACAGATTGATTGGAGGATGTTTTTGGGTTACTGTGTGGGACGAAAAAGATAATTTTGCCGTAAGGGAAAGAAAAAGCCTAATATGGAAGTCTGCTTGTGTCTATATCCACAATTTGTCAGTTTTTGTTGTGATTTCTTTAACACTTTTCCGTTACATCCGCTCCTCTGAACATGGTTCTTGATAAAAGAATAGTTAATGTTTTCTCGTAATATAAAGAATCAACAAACATGTTAATACTATAACAGGCGTTCTTTAAATAACAATGATAATAATTTTTAGTTTCAATAAAGTGACTATTTTTAAACTTTTTACATATTAATTTTAATTGCGTGTTTAATGAATTATTATTTAAATGCTTACTACTAGTTACATTCATTACAATAACGGTGGCATGCTTTAGTAATTTCAATGCAGCATATAATTCCGCTAGGGCTGTTACCGGATCATCATCGTTTTCTCCTACACATAAAATTACCTTATCGTGTGTGTCTACCTCTAAATTGGGACATAGCTTTAGGACTTCTTCCGTAGATGCAAATGTCTTGATGAACGTGCTTTTAATTATTGGAGATTGACAGATTTTCTTTAGAACCTCAATTTCCTTTTTTAATTTATTTATTTCTCTTTTGTATTCATTGTTTTCTATTATCGTATTCTCTAACTCATTTTGTGTACTCAAGAGATTAATTTTTAATTCTTTAATTTCTTCCTTCATTTCCTGCATTTCGCACATTTTAATAGTTGAGTAATCTTCACTCTTTGAGAGCATTTCCAAGGAGGATTCCTCTAGTTCGTCGCATTCTTCTTCCGTATCGATCCCGCATGAATCAAGCAGAGGAGATGATATCTACAACTGATTTCGATTTAGGTGACGCAGTTTGTTTAGCTGCTGAGACAGTCTTTTTTCTTAATGTGATGTTTTTATATTCCGTGTGTGAACGTGTAGATTTTAATTCTTTTTGGCTTTTTAAGCAGATTTTGCATTTCCACGCAGCTTTTTTTCTGCTTGCATTAATCGATATAGCTTTTCTGACAAGCCAATACAATGAAAGTCGAATCTTTTTTTGCATTGCGAGCATAATATCGTATCTCTTGCCTCTCTGTTACATTTGCATTTATCACATATAACAGATTGATATCGGCTAGTTTGCATGTCATTATTCTGTTTTTCGTCCATTTTTAATGTTCTTGTTTAATGTTTGTTATTTTTATTTTTTATAAAATTTGTATAAAAAAGATATTAGACAATTTTACAAAAGCTAGATTTAAGTGTTAAAAAGAATAAAAATAAAAAATTAAAAATTTATTCGAGGATTTGAAGCCTATCTCGTTTACAGACCGTGCCCTCACTAAATAAACCAGGCGTCACAGGTAGTCTTTGAAATTTCTGTTTATATTGTGATTGTAATGGAATGACAATCGGGTAGTTCATTGACCTTTATTATGGACTGCTGAGTCACAATAGCTATTTCACTTGTAATTACCGTGACAGTCACTATTCACAACGATTAAATTTTAAGTTATTTTTGATAATATCACGTCACTTAATTGTTTACTATAAAATTTTATTTACTTTCTAACGGTACTTGATCTTAGCTTCACGTATATATATAATTTAGCTGTTAATATGTAACTTTTCGTTTAATTACGAAAAAAATCTACAGAGCTTCGATTTAAAACAGCCGCACGGTCGGGTGTACACGACGTATCCAATCCATTTAACCAAATCCATTTACTCTGAACATCATATTAAAACAGCATACCGAACTTACATTTAATTTAAAATCCGTAGACAGGAGAAGAATGGACTTAGTTTGCGTAAACCCTCAAACTAAACACGCATTTGTGAACTAATTTTACATATTTTTAGGACTATTTCTATATAACAAGCTCAACAAGTCACTAAAGATATATAGTGTAAGTTATAAGAAATGTAATATAGCTGTAAGGGTATTCCTGAATAAATTAAATTACGAAGACACAGAGAAGTTGTTAGAAACCGGCGAACGATGCGGGTGGTATCGAGGAGCACTACCTTCTGCATTTGAGCCCGGAGCGGTCCGTCACAAAGTCCCAGTCGCTTCATATGACCCAAGAGGCTTACCGGGATTAGCCAATTCACAGAGATGAATACAGGAATAATTTCAGTCGGCAAACCACCCCACATGTCAGTCACCTCGTGAGCCAGGTCCGGATATTTTGTTTGCCTATCTGATTCGGCTTTCACTAGGTTCTTGTCATATGGAAGGGTAATGTCGACCAAGAATATTCCTGACTGTGCCTGGTCCATCAGCACAATATCAGGCTTATTCGCAAGAATAGTCCTGTCTGTGATATGGCGCGGTTCCAGTAGAGCCTGGCGCGGTAATTTTTGAACACGGCTTCCGGCAAGTACTTATAATAAGGCAGTTTCCGATCCACGAGACCGTATTTCCGAGCGAGCTCCTGGTATAGAATCCTGGCTACTAGGTTGCTCCTGTGCAAGTACTCAGAGTTAGAAAGCGCTGAACAACCGGAAATGACATGCCTAAGTGACTCACCGGGATGGCGACAAGCTCGACAGATGTCGACGGTGCCATCTTTAGGATGTATCTCCAATAGTTGTTGGTCTTAAAACCTGATCCTGTATTGCACAGACAAAAACCTCGATTTCCCCGAAGAGGTCACCGAAACGTAGAAAGTTGAGGGAGGCGACTGTATCCACGAAGGGCTCATGTATAGTTCTTTAGTACCTCCCGTGGATCTCCTTCTTCTTTCATACGGTTTCCCGGTCGAAAATGCTATGTACTCCTGCCCTTGTTAATTGGCTAAGGATAGAGTGGTAAGTCCTTTATCACAAAAAATTATGTCCTTATAGAATGGATCATCCGATCTCGCCAGGAAGTAATGACGATTTCGCGATTATGCATGGTGACCGCGCTCAGAAAGCTTTTGCGGCAAGTATAGCCTGATTACCGACGATCTCGAATGATGCATCCTATGGGACGTCATGGTAGCACTGACTTTTCTATTCAAGGCGTAAAGTTCAGTCTGAGTCCACCTGAGTATGCCAAAGGTATACTAGTATCTTTGGCATACTCAGGTGCCATGTATAATATGTAATATGTGCCAAGGTATAATAATATATAGGGACAGGCATGACCTAACCGTTATATGCGTGTGTCTTATTCATCATCATCATCATCATTACAGCCCTTCACATGTCCACTGCTGAACATAGGCCTCCCCCAAAGTATGCCACAAAGCACGGTCCTGAGCCACCTGCATCCATCGACTTCCTGCATGTCTTACCAGGTCGTCACTCCATCTAGCGGGGGGTCGCCCTAAACTTCGCCTACCGGTACGAGGCTGCCACTCGAGAACCTTTTTTCCCCAACGGTTGTCGGTTCTTCGAGCTACATGGCCGGCCCATTGCCACTTCAGCTTACTAATCTATGTCTATAGGCTATGTCGGTCACTCTGATTCTACTGCGGATATCCTCATTTCTAAGTTTATTGCGCAGAGGAACTCCGAGCATAGCCATCTCCATAGCTCGCCGAGCGACTTTGAGCGTCCTCATACGGCTAGCAGTGAAGGACCATGTCTCGGTTCCGTAAGTCATCACTGGCAACACGCACTGGTTGTACACTTTAGTTTTCAGGTTTTGAGTATACCTGACTAGAAGATGTGTCGTAATTTCCCGAACGCTGCTCAGCCGAGTTAAATCCGTCGATTAACCTCTTGGTCGAAGTTGGACCTAATTGGACTATTTGTCCAAAGGAAACGTACTCGTCAACAACTTCGAGCTTAGTGTTCCCAACAACTACGGGCATAGGTGTGACATGGACATTAAACATGATCTTTGTTTTGTCCATGTTAAACTTAAGACCTATCCGTTGGAAGGCACTATTAAGGTCATTGAGCATAGTGCTTAAGTCCTCCAGCGATTCTGCCATAAGGACTATATCGTCGGCAAATCAATGTGGTATACACGCCATTGATGTTAATACCGTATTCTTTCCACTCCAGTAGCTTGAAAACGTCTTCCAATGCAGCAGTGAAGAGTTTCGGGGAAATAACGTCACCCTGTCTTACACCTCTCTGCAGTTGGATAGGTTTCGTACTCTGGTTCTGTACTCGGATAGCCATCGAAGTCCTACTGCACAAACACTTCAGCACTTCGATATATCGACAGTCAACTCGGCATCGCTGAAGAGACTATGGCACCGCCCAAATTTCGACGGAATCAAAGGCTTTCTCATAGTCCACACACGCTAGGCAAGGTGGCAGATTTTACTCTTCGGTCTACTGTACAATCTGCCGCAGGGTATTTATGTGGTCTACGGTACTGAAGCCTTTTCGGAAACCGGCTTGTTCGGGAGGCTGGAAATCGTCGAGTCCGCGTGCGGGACGATTCGTAATGACTCTCGAAAACAGCACGTAGACGCGGCTCAGAAGGGAAATCAGTCTGTAGTTCCTCAAGAGAGCTTTGTTGCCTTTCTTAAAGAACACAACCACCGCACTTCTGCTCCACGCCTCCGAAATAGTGCCATCATGGAGGACGGAATTAAAGAGCTTCTGAAGGACTTCAAGTACCGGTGTTCCACCCGCTTTCAGAAACTCCGCGGTAATTCCATCCTCGCCTGTGGCCCTGCCGTTTTTAAGGTGGTGGAGAGCCATTCTAATCTCGCTCAGACTGACGTCCGGGATATCACCGGAATAGTGTCGGATAAAACTTGCTCTTGCATCGTTACTCACACATGACTGTGGCTCCAACGATGATGTGTACAGCTGCCCATAGAACCTCTCAATCTCACTCAGAATCTCAGGTGTCCCGGAAACGATGCTGCCACACTCAGTCTTCAGTTTTGACAGTTGGCTCTTACTGACAGACAGATCTCTGGCAAAGACTTTGGAGCCCTGGTTACGATCGATCGCTTCTTTAATACGAGATATTAAAGTTGCGTAAGTCTCGTCACATGCATTTGGAGATCTATCAGTTCAGTTGCCTGTATGTTGTCGAATCTGCTGACGATTGCAGCCTCATCTTCCGTCTAACAGCCATGAGATTAAGAGTGTGATCGGAGAGTTTTTGTGTTCTTCTGCGGCGGGTCTTGCAGAACTTAGCTCCGACCGCATGGGCAGTTTCCACGAGCTTATCATTCATATCGTCCGCTGCATTGCAATATTCTAGGCACTGAAAGCGGTTACGTAACTCGAGCTGAAAGGTTTCGGGATTCTGGATTAGAGCACGAGAGGGACGGAGCGTTGACTTCATTAGACGAGACCTCTCCAACTTAACGTTTAGGTTCAGTGTGCCTCTAACCATTCTCGCTGGTGATCGGTGATCGCTGTCAGTTTTCACCCTTGCGATCACTGAGACATCACTGAACAGTTGGCGTCTGGTCATCATAATGAAGTCAATCTCATTTTTTGTCGAACCGTCGGGGCTCGACCAGGTCCACTTTCTGTGGGGCCGCTAAAAAGGCCCTCCTTCTCTATGAAGTCGGCCAGCTGCTGGCCCCTTGGGTTCCGTTGCCCTATCCCAAATTTTTCTACCTTCAACTCACCGTTCTTTCTTGTGTCCAGTTTTGCGTTGAAGTCTCCCATTAACACCTTATAGTGAGTTCTGGAGGAGTGCATAGCTCTAGAAATATCCTCATACATTTCCTCCACCTCCTCATCGGGATGTTTGTAAAAGTTTAAATACTTTTGGACTGACGACGGTCAGTGCGCTGATATTTCGTATAGAGGAACAAGGAAAACCGTTTCTAGTATCGTATCACATCGTTTTCTCATTTGTTCAGAAGCATTAGAACTCATAAAATCAAACATTGAAAATATAGGTGTGTGTGTTTTCTAGGGTACCCACGGGCGCACACTACGGTCATGCCCGTGGTCTACGAAGATTCTATGCGACCGTTTGAGTTAATGGTGGTTAATATAGCGCATAGCGCCATGTTATAGCGCGCTATCTCTTCATAACGCATAGCGCGTGCTATGTAAGTAGTCGCAATGGCGCTATGACGCTATGACGCTTTGGCGCTATTCATATCAAGCGGCAATTAGTTCTAGCATCAGCGCTGTTGGGAGTAGACGTGTGACGCAAATTTAATCTAGCAGCAGCACGCTATTCATCGCGCGCGTACTAATTTAGTGTTATACGTTATTTAGGTGTATACTATATATTTATAAGTGATCGAAGGACACAGTTGTCTGCTACAAAAGAAGCCTAACTAATGTTTTTAAAATGTAAATAAAATATAGATACAAAAGTGTATATAGTAATGTTTGTAAATAGTAGATAGTAGTAGATTTTGTATATACAATCAATAAATTTTTAAATACATCTTTAATTCATTCATAATTTATATTAAGGTTAAAATAACGTTTACATCAATTATAATAAAAAAAATTAATTTTATTTTGTTTCAAAAAGTACACGCCTTAAAAATATTTTTAGGATTATAGAAAGTCGTAAGCCTGAAAAGTATGAAAGAGCGTTCATTGATTTTTCTTTGCCACTTTAGTTTATTTTAATCTAAAATGCGACTTATTACGAAACAATCTTCGATCAACAATACCAATGATCGAAGGAAACAATGTTCTTATATAGCACGCGGTCTATCCAATGAACGACATGTAATGTAGCGTGCTCCGAGATATAGCGTGCTGCTAAACTTAACGCGCTTGCCGGCCTCCTACACACTTTTTTATAAATAGCGCGCTATAACATAGCGTATTTAATAGCGCGCTAGAAAATTCTAGTTTATAGTCTGTAGCGTGCTATTGATTTACAGTCGTTTTGAACAACTTTAATTTGAGTAGTGTCGCGCCACGCACCGATTGAGAACGTTGTGTTCTTCGATTTTTACGCTATTTTTTCGTGCCTAAAGTGATGAACGAACGTGAGTATTTTGATTGTTATTTGTAATAAAAACGGTTTGTTAGACCAATGAGACTAGCAAACAAGAATGTGTAGATTGCTAAATCTATTTCAAGGGTGCCTATATGGATGTGTAACATGAATGATCATATTTTATTCTAGATGGATTCAGATCGCATCAGTCGTCTTCTGGAAGATGTTTCAACATCGGAAACCAGCGATATCGAAGGTTCGTACCACGATGACGAGGGAGAGTATGGTTCTAACGAAGGTTATCGTCCATCAGCTCAGTCAGCAGTGAATACAGCCCTTCAGTCTCCGGAGGTGGAACAGCCTGGCGCACAAAAAGCTAGTGATGATTTCCTGCCTAACGACATGGATATTTTTCTTCAGTCTCCAGAGATGGAACAGCCTGCTGCGCAAATGGTCACCAATTCAACGCAGCTCCAAAAGATGAAGTGTGGTCAAAAACATCTATATCAACTGCTGATTTTCACTTTGACGAGTTCTCAACAGGATCAAAGTTTGATGTAAATCTCGTTCACATGCCACTAGATATGTTCAAATTAGTTTTTCCGGATAGCCTTATGGATCACATGATTGAATGTACAAATAAGTATGGAAAGAAACTAACTAGTCAAGATGGGCCCCGCACGAAGAATAGTCGCCACTATAAATTTCGACCTGTGGATAAGCAGAAGATGTTATCTATTTTAGGCTTATGCCTTCTTCAAGGGCAACTAAAATTCCCCGTTAGACGGTTTTTTTTCCAATGATCCGCTGTAATATCATCAGTTTTTAAATATATAATATCTGGTAGGAGATTCAAACAAAACATAAAATGTCTGTGTGTAGCGGATGATCAAGCAAAAGGTGAACACAAAATTCTTGATTTTATGAAAGCTCTGAATAATAACATCCAGCGTATCTACGATCCTTCTAAAGGGTTATCCATAGACGAATCTCTTATTCTATTTCGGGGTAGAATATACTTTAGACATAAAGTCATAAAAAGTCTTAGTGAAGGGACTGTGCCCCAGATATGGAAGAACGCTAATATAACACTAGTTTATAAGAGTGGGCGCAAAAACGACGTTTCTAACTACCGCCCTATATCTTTGCTATCAACCATACCGAAGGTTCTTGAGAGGTTAATACATAAGCAAATTTATCCTATATTACATAACATAATTATACCTGAACAACATGGATTCGTAAAACAGCGATCGACAACAACTAACCTTATTCTTTACACAAATTATCTTTTTTCGCTGCATGGATAACCGTCTGCAAGTAGATGCAATTTACACTGGTTACTCTAAGGCCTTTGATAAGGTTGATCATAATATACTTTTAGCGAAATTAGCGTTTAATGGAATACGAGGAAACTTGTTAAGATGGTTTTCATCATATGTTCTAAACAGATCTCAACGGGTTGTGATTAATGGTTTCTCATCCAATATCATAAATATCAGCTCAGGCGTACCGCAAGGTTCTATTCTTGGGCCTTTGCTTTTTATATTATTTGTAAACGATATCGGTGATTGTTTCCGTTTTACTAACTTTCTCCTTTACGCCGATGACCTTAAAATTTATCACAGTGTCAAAAGTGTCGAAGATTGTGACAAAATACAACAAGACCTAAATCGCTTGGAAGGCTACTGTATAAAAAATAAACTTCACTTAAGTACATCAAAATGCAAACATATCACTTTCACAAAAAAATTAACATTATTAAATACACTTATAAACTAAACTGTGTTTCGTTGGAATCGGTATCTTTAATCAGGGATCTAGGATTGTATTTAGACTCTAAACTACACTTTGATGAACACGTAACGCACATAACCAATAAAGCCTTTCAGCTTTATGGTTTTGTTATGCGGAAATGTTCTTCCTTCAAACATCCCACCACATTTTTAACTTTATATAAATCTCTAATAAGATCACAGGTTGAATATGCTTCAGTTATATGGAGTCCAATATATATATTAAATATAGTTTACAGTTGGAGCGTGTTCAACGAAAATTTTTAAAATCTACAATGTACAAATGCTTTAAAAGTAATTATAATGAATGTTATGAACTTTTATTAAAACAATTTAATGTTCTTTCTTTAGAATCGAGAAGGATGCTCTTGGATCAAACTTTGCTTTACAAAATCTGCCATAACGAATTTGATTGTAATGAACTCACCAATCAAATATACATTCGTATACCTAGTCGCTCGAATCGTATACGTGAGCTACATTCACATCAAATTTTCGCTCCAAAACCAAGTAAAACAAATGCAGGTGCACGTGCACCTCTAAATCGTATAATGGAATTATACAACAACAAATTTAATGACATAGATATCTTTGGATTAACTTCTTCTAGATATAAAAAAGCTGTGTATGAGGTTCTATCTGAATTTGATGCAAGTTAATGTAATTGCTTAATTAGGTTAAATTTAATTTTTCACATCTGTGTATTATCTATATATGTGTATGTGCGTGTATGAATATGTTTGTATATATGTGTATATGTATATGCGTGCACATGTACATGCATATGTGTAAATTAGCTTGTTTTTTTCTGTATTTATTGGTGAACGGGTCGTTTTTAATAGAACATTATATTTTAATTTTTAATTGTTACGTACATAGACCCAGTGGTAATATGTGGATAACGGTGTTGATTGTATGATTATTAAGCTTAAATATAGTATTGTGTTTAATAATAAGATTATATTGTACTATTGTTTGTTAATATAATATAAAGAGAAAAAAAAGCGAGGTATGGTATAAAATTCTATGTCCTCACAACTGCCGACGGTTATGTCCTTTATATGATGATGTACCGTGGTAAAGATAACTCAGAGACAGGAAAGGAAACTCAAAATATCGTGGTGAAACTGTTTGAACCATATTTGTTCACAGGTCACCATGTTTTCATGGATAATTTTTACAATTCAGTAGAATTATCGCATAAGTTACTTGGTTTGCGGACACACTTTTGTAGGCCATTGAGAAAAAACCGTAAAGACATTCCAAGAGCACTAACAAGTCTAAAGCTAAAAAAGGAGATTATTACTGATTACGCAAAGGCCAAATTTATGTTTCGATGTGGAGAGATAAAAGACCAGTTTTTACAATTTCTACTCGGGATCACCCAAAGCTAGCACAAGTGTCAAATCGATATGGCAAAGTAGGTAGCAACCAAACACAATGAAGTAGCTGCTTACAACAGTTTTATGGGGGGAGTAGATAGAGTCGATCGGATGACTTAATATTATTCATCACCTCGTAAAAGCCTAAGACGGTATCTGCAAGGGATGTGTGAAAAGAACACTTTGTGTCCGGAATGTTTCGAAGATTGGCACATTTTGCATGCCAGTAATCAGCAGGAAGACTAAGTTTTAGATAAATTATTATCTATTTACTTAGAGGCCGACTAGGGGTTTCCTATGGATTGCAGTATCCGCTTACCATCAGATGAACTGTAAATAAAGATAAAAGAATAACGTAGCAATGCCATCTGTGTGCATACATTTCTACATTTCGTGACACAAACTCAAAGAGATTTAAATATATATGTATAGATATATATATATATATATATATATATATATATATATATATATATATATATATATATATACCATAGAGCGGACATTAGAAACGTTTGCACGCGTACAAAAACTGTGAGCTCAAAACATTTCATTTCAGCTATTCCCCATTAGGTGACGCTAATAAATATAAGGTAAATATATAATATAAGTTATAAATAATTAGTTTTATTATCGGTTTTTTTAAAGTTTAATGTTCCCGTTTCGACATCAAAGTATCGATAACGTTGTTGAAGGTTACTTAGTTTGAAATGCATTACGATATAATAGTAGCGAATATGCATGATTGTTTTATAGTGTAAATCTAATTATTATGGCTTCTATCACACATAAAAATCATATTAACTTTTTACGCCACTTTAGTGTCATGAAATAAAATACTTAATTTCCAATAACTAAGAATCAATTCAAACAGCAGTCACATTGGTGGCATCTTGGATGACGTCGCTCGGTCCATTAGATGCTATAATAATAGCATATCATAGCACACGTTTTTGAATTCGTTTCTTTTACAAAAATACATTTTCTAGCATACTTGTAAGCAGCTAGAGAGTAATAACGTTAGAGCAAATTTACGAAAAGAAGGATTAAATTTACGACGAGATAATCCTGCCTTCGTCGATTGCATATTGAGTCTATTATACACGGCTTGTGTTTCTACTGTAGCATTTAAGGAATTAACCATATTTTTTTTTAAATATCAAACTTCTTTTCTAAATGTTTAACTAAATCTTTTAAGTTTATTATTTTCCATTTGAAATATTTATTTTGTTGGCCTAGTTTTTTAATTTTAGCCTTATGGCGTAATTTTTATTTTTGTAAATTGCGAATTTGCAACTTCAATGCAATTTTCCTCGGACTATCAAATATCGACCCAGAGTTTGATACTACAACACTGATTGGTGTAAACTCTGGTAGCCTCCGCATTTGTTTCATTATTCTGAAATTATAAAAAGGTGATGTCAAGAAAAAATTAAATAAAATCTGTGGTTAAGACTAATAGGCAAATGTTCAGCTTTGCTTGACTGTACCGCTATAAATAACATACAATTTACTTCACTTGCTAAACGAGGAAATGATCCTTTTTTAAAATTATGCGACTAGTCTTTTCGTAGTACATATATTCGCTTCCAAAATGCTTTGAGCATAATTTTTATATAGCAGATGGAAGCCAATTTTTTCTCTGCGCTCCATTTGGACAAACCGTATCCACTTTTCACGCTCTGCGGTATTAACTGACGGAAATCTAAAATTACCAGATTCATGCTTATACAAAAAGCATAATTATAATGCCGGTTCATAGAACTCTGTAAGCAAAAGGTTTTAATAACATATGTTTGTAAGCAGTTTATAAATTTTATGTTATTATGTCAATTTAATCAGATGCAATACTTATAGACCCACATCAATAAAAAAAACCGTTTCTTTAGGTTTTTACCTTATTTTCTAACTCACGCTTAACCTACAACTTCTTGCATCTTATATCTTTAATAGTGTAAATTTTTTTTAATGTAACAAAGCTATAACCCTCCCCTATCAGTGTTAGCCAGGATCTATAAGGCTTCGTCTTTGAAATCACTAGACAATGAGGCCCGGTGTGTAAAAGCACAGCAAGCAACACCGTAAATCTCATCAGCATGCGTAAACAAACATTTTCCCACCCTTTCTCCACATAAAGTAAGCTACTTAGCATAGTTGGTATATTCTACTCATCTTTATTAGTATGGGTACAGTATCGTTGACGTTTCACCTCCCTAAATATTGTAGATGATTAAATCGGTATTCTGTATATTTTATCGATAACGCCAATTGTCAATCACTAACACATTTGTAAATAAATAGTGACACTACTGGATAACAGAGGCCGCTTATGACAAAATAATAAATGTTCTAGAAAAATAGTTGATTTATCAAGATATATTAA